ATATTGTTAAAAACAATGGGACCCACGTGTTGTGTGTATTCAGTATAATTTCTGTAAAAATTTCTCTGTACCCATAGAGTGATTGTAAAATCATCTAATTGACAAATATTTGAAAATTTGGTAAACCCTAATTAGGTTATAATTTATCTAGGAAAATGCCACTTGCACATTATTTTTTGACATTATGATTGACATGACATGTATTGACAAATGTTGATTATGTGAAAAACTATAAAAAAAAAAAAAAAATTTAAACTATCCAATAATGTTTTATTGACAAAATGTAAAAAATAATGTAAATTAAGATTTAGCATAATTGATTTATCTATCAATGGCCCCAACTACTTTAAAGATTTCTACTGACTAAAACTCAAATGAGTAAAAATACGAAGTAAAGTCTCAAATTTCGTCATGTTTGGATCAGGGACGGATCCAGGACCGGACGACAGGGGGGGCTAATACGTAAAAAAAAAAAAAAATTACACATGGAATTTTTTTTTTTACATAAAAAAATTTTTTTGGGCNTTACACATGAAATTTTTTTTTTACAAATTTTTTTTTTCCCCAACTAAAAAAAATCTTCGGATTTTACATTTCTATATGTGGTTTGGTATATGTTGGCAATTTTATGTTAAAAATTAAGTGCTTAGAAAACATGTAAAGATCACTACAAAACATGTGCTTTTTAAGATTATAGATACACCGTCGACCTTACCTAATTCCGTCCAATAATATCTCCAAGTGATTTATATATCCATCTAAAGATTACACGATAACCGTTTACCTAACACCTATTCAGTGATATTCAATACTTTATATTGAATGTGTTTTATAAAATGGATGTTCGACATACAACATTGATATTGTATGAAACTTATTATCATTGCTTGTTTTTTAAATAATATTATATTTACCAAAACAATATAATAAATAAATTTTCAATTTTTCTTCATTTTTAATACTATTATCTAATAATATCTAGGGAAAATTGTAGTAGCGGTTCTTGATATTTTCATTTTTTGTAGACTTTACCCCATCCTTTATTTTGTGTCAATGAAGGTCCCTAACCTTTTATAAATATACAGCTAGAGTCAAAATGGATGGAAAATGTCCATTTGACCGTTAGTTGACCAAGAAAGTCAAAATTTGATTAATTTGACCAAATTAAAAGAGACAAAATTATAAGTTTAAAAGTATAACATTAAATGTGAGTTGGGACCGGATCGTGGGAGAACCTACCCTCAACCGTATCAAATATTGCGGTGATGACCTTCTTCGTTGGGGAGGATCCGGATTAAGACAACTCAACTCCAAGATAAAACAATGTAGACTCGCTATGGATAGACTTCACAGGAGAACGGATTCTGTCGGCATTCAGGATTTTCGCAAGGCCCAATTTGGTTACTTCAAAGCTCTTCGCCAGGAAGAAATCTACTGGAAGCAAAGATCTAGAAAGCTTTGGTTAAAAGAGGGAGACTCTAACACTAAATATTTCCGTCAGGCAGCCTCTTCTTGAAAACGATTGAATGAAATTCAGCCCCTCAAAGATCAACATGGAAACTGGGTTTTGGACAGAGCTGCAACTCTAAATATTTTCATGATCTTTTCAAATCTTCTACTCAAAGTGATGTTCCAGGTCCTGTGGTTGAGGGAATTAATGCTCGCATATCTAACTCTCATTATGAAATGCTAGCAGCCCCGTTTACAGCTCAAGAGATTCAAAGAGCCATCTTCGACATGCACCCTGATAAGGCTCCGGGACCGGATGGCATGAACCCGGCTTTCTATCAAAAAATTTGGGAGGTTGTTGGTAAGGATGTAACCTCCTTGTGCTTAAATTGCTTGAACACTCACACTTTCCCCGCAGGTTTCAATGACACTTCCATTGTTCTCATTCCAAAAAAAGGCAATCCTGAGGTTATGCAAGATTTTAGACCAATATCTCTATGCAATGTTTTGTATAAAATAGTGGCCAAAACTCTCGCTAATCGCCTCAAATTCATCTTGCCGGATGTCATTTCGGAGACGCAATGTGCATTTGTTCCTGGTCGATCCATAAATGATAATATTATGTTGGCATTTGAGGCTCTTCATCATATGAAGAAGAAGAATCGTGGTAAACATGGCATGGTTGCTCTTAAACATTAGTAAGGCAAATGATCGGCTCAAATGGGGATTTTTCAACCAAGTGATAACTCGTATGGGGTTTCCTCAAAACTGGATTGATTTGATCACTTTATGTGTCTCTACCGTTCGGTATCATATTATTCATGGGGGTTTCGATATCAGACCTATTTTTCCGGAACGGGGACTGCGACAAGGCTGCCCCCTATCACCATATTTGTTCATCCTTTGCTCGGAAGGGTTATCCTCTCTTATTCGTTCTAAAGAGGTGTCAGGCGCTATCCATGGTTGCAGAATTGCAAGACATGCCCCCACTCTTACTCATCTTTTCTTCGCGGATGATAGCCTGTTGTTTTTTCGAGCAAACACAAGGGAATGTGATGACATTAAGGAGCTACTTCACAAATATGAAATGGAATCAGGTCAATCCATCAATTACAACAAATCTACTTTGTATTTCAGCAAAAATGTTGACCTCGAGAGGCAGATCGCTTTTCGTTCTAATTTGGGTATTCAGGCTTTCCAAGGGCATGACAAGTACCTTGGTTTGCCATCTATCATTGGAAGGAAGAAGAGAGAGGTGTTCTCTTTCATTAAAGATCAGGTTTGGCAACGAGTTCAAGGTTGGAAAGAAAAGTGCTTATCTAGAGCGGGAAAAGAGATCCTTATTAAGACCGTCGCCCAAGCTATTCCTAATTTCGTTATGAGTGTGTTTCTGTTACCTATTCAGCTTTGTGAAGAAATCGAAAGAATCATGAATAAATTTTGGTGGTAATCTAATAAAGGGGAAAGCAGAGGCATCAATTGGATTGCATGGAACAAACTCAGCCTTCCAAAATCACAAGGTGGTATGGGATTCAAGAAGTTGCATGAAACTAATCTAGCTCTCCTTGGTAAGCTCGGGTGGAAGCTACTAACACAACCTACATCTTTGGTTGCTCGGATCTATAAGGCACGCTATTTTCCTTCTTCAACATTCTTGGAAGCTAATATTGGCTATAGGCCAAGTTATATCTGGAGCAGTATACTTGCTGCTAAATCTATCCTGAAAGATGGGTGTAGACTTCGAGTGGGTAATGGCTCCTCGATTAGAATCTGGCATGACCCTTGGCTTCTTAATCCCCGCCAAGGCTTTGTTACTTCAGAACCAAGCCCAGGAAGAGAAGATGCCATTGTTGATCAACTTATCTTAGCAGGGGAAAATAGTTGGGACTACAATCTTCTCGCTGATCTTTTTAATGAGGAAGATCGTGGGCAGATCATGAAAATTCCCCTAATAGCACATGGGAGGGAAGATCGAATGTTCTGGATTCATGACAAGAAGGGTGCTTACTCAGTCAGAAGTGGGTATAAGCTATTGATGGCAAATTCTTTCACACACTCTCATAATACTATTGAGAGTTTTTGGAACAAAATTTGGAGATATAAAATTCCAGCGAAGGTTCGAAATTTAATTTGGAAGGCATCGCTAAATGTTCTTCCAACAACTGATCAATTGAGGGCTAAAAGAGTCGACGTTGATAGCCATTGCCCGGTTTGCTTAACGCACGAAGAATCTGTTCTCCATGTTTTTGTCTCTTGCGAATTAGCCCAAAAGGTTTGGGAGACAGTGGGAATAGCCAGTTCACCCCGCTTGGTTGCTAATTTCCAAGACTGGCTCACAACTACCTTAAAGAATCATCAGCAAGATCAAGAGATCATCGCTATGCTTTGTTGGGCTATATGGATGAACCGAAATGAAACTGTTTGGAATGCTAAGTCGTTTACAGTACGTAAGGTGGTGACTATTGTAAAAAATTTCCTCCAACAATGGCAA